TAAACGTCTCAGAATTCAAAATAAATAAAGTTTTAATAATTATTAATCTTCGAATTCCTTGTTTTTAAAATATATTCACTTGCAAATATAAAATTGATGTATTGTAATATGCATTTACTGTACTGCACCAAGTAAGTACAACAAATGTTAAAAATATATGAAATACTTTAATTGAATTGCTATTTACCGTCACATTTATTCCATTTATATATTAAAAAGAAACTTATTTTAGGTTTCTAAATGTATTATTAACACTAAAACTGAAAATGATTATAGTCTGTGAAATAAAAAATTTATGAACTTAAGTTTATTATTTGTTGTTTAAATATATAAGTATGCTTTCAAGTTTTTGGCACCATTTTAGAATATATAATAATTACAGTGCAAATTCTATATGTTGTGTCAGATCTATATTTTGAATAATTACTTTTAATTGGTTTGGTTCTTCAGTACTGTTAATTGTTCCATATATTCAAGGTACAATCTTTGCCAACGTAGATGTCCACCAACAATAGATAATACATCCTCTAGAAGTTTATGTTTTCTAATTCCCTGTATGAAAAATAAAAGCTTGTTATTATATTTAGAATTAGCAATTTTACATAAACACAACAAAGTAAAGTAGTACCAAAATTAAAGGATCCCATATACTTTTGGAAGCTGATGTGTGACTTGGACCCAAAAGTTCATCTAAGATTAGCCTTAGACGTCTTTCCAATCCATCTAAAAGTATAATATTTTGTAAAATATGATGATAAATGGCTGTACAAAAATGATATATATATATACCTTGAGTTAATAAAAATGATACTAGAGCCATGAGCCAATGTATATATTCCTGAGTACTTCCAAGAGCTTTAGAAGCAAGTAATTGCTGTTCCAAGTAAGATACTACACTTGGAGCACTATGAGGTAATCTCGGATTAGGTAAAGTATTTCCAGCTGTTCTAAATAGTCCTTCTTGTAAAGAAGATAAGGGACCTCTGGGAGCTCTGCTTCCCGATGCACTTGATGCATTAAGTGACGCCCAGCGCCATATAGGATCTTGACTATCACCAATTAGTAACCATGTGCCTGAGCATGTTATTTGTAAACGAATTATATGTTATATGTAACAAATTATTTCATTAGTTAATATAATTTGTATACCCATTTCTTTATGATACATGTATGCTCTAGCATTAGTGAAAGCTAAATGCGGCATTCCATTATATAATGTACAAGATAACAAAGAAGTGCCAGGTACTGCTAAATGTGCAGCAGAAGTAGAAACTATCATTCTACATGAATATCCTATTTCCCAAACACGTACAGCACCACAACTTGAAATAACCATTACCTAAAAATATTTATATTTAAAAATGATTATCATCTTTACACTTTAAAAAATAAAAAAATATTAAAAGAAAAATTAGTACTGCATTTCCAACTGCATGAACTTTCGCAAGTGGTGCAGGTGGGGCTAAAGGAGGTGCTGGTCGACATCCTTTTGCAGGATGGAATGTATGAAGACTACCATCTTCCAAACCAAGTGCTATAACTGCTGGTGATGCTGCTAACGCTACAGCACTGTATCCCAAATACAGATCCCACGTAGGTTCAGAGTCAGTGCCTTTAAATACTTGCAGATGGGCTAAGCCTTGACTGTTAGTAACAGTTACCGCGTAATGACCCGCCTGTTGAGACAATGAACTGGATGGTTTTAATGGAGGAAGTATAATTTGACTTGTACTCCTCTCGGATGTTACTTTTGGTTTCTTATTAAATGAAGTGTGATGTGGTTTTGGCGTAGTTTGGTCACGGCGTTTTAGAGTAAGTGTAGAGGCTGGAGTATTTATGCATGTTGAATTTACAGAAGAAGTAACATTAGGCGTCACAACGTCATTTCGTTTTTCTATAACAATTGAACTTTTTACTTGACTTGTAAATGTCGGTGTTCCTAGTCTATTATTTGATGAATCCCTAAATAAAAATGTTTATTTAAAATAAAAAATTGTAGATATTCTAATGTTTTAAGATTAGGATTTAACTTACATTGTGTCAGATGGTGGTGGTATAAACATTGGTGTTATTCGCCTTTTACCATCTGATGTCCTTGTTTCAATTTGCTTATTAATAGGACCCTTGGCAGGAGTAGTTGAAGTAGTAGTAGGCGGATGTGTTGAATTTGTATTTGAAGGTGTTTGAGTTTGTTGTGATGGTGGTGTTGATGTTTTTAAATTAAGAAGTTCAGGTGCTTCCATTACTGTGCAACCACCTTGAACTAATGGTTTACCATACAAACGTTCATGAAGACTACTCTATAATGAAATTAAAAAAGTTATTAATATACCATTAAT